TCTGCTGTCAGAGGATGTGTAGTGCTCCTTGACATAGAGCGCCACACCCTCACCTTTCCTTCCTTCTCTATCCCGCCTGTAAGCATACTCCCCCGCACACCCAGAAGTGTCCTGGGAATACCTCCAGTCCACTTCTGAATTTGCCACCGAGCACGTGGAGGCCCCCACTGCACTCCCGTGGGACCCTCAATGCCTCCCCAGCTTGGCGATCAGCCACAGGGGGACCCTGGGTGCCCCCCCAGACCCAGGAGGCACCAGTTGCCAAGCCAGACGGGGTGCAGAGGCGTGCACTGGTCCACTTCTGGTCCACTTCCAGGTTTGCTGCTGAGCGCACTGGGAAGAGCCCCCATGCTCCCCCCCCCATGAATGCCCAACTCCACACCTCGTGCCAGGTTTCTCACACCATTTTGATGCCACTCCTACTATCCTGCCAGTTACCTCAACCCCAGCACCTCTCCCCAAGCTGGCCTGGACAACAGCAGAGTGCCCAGAGTGTGCTGAGATGTCCTCACCATGTTCCACCTCTGATAAGAAGCAGGTGGTGAGATCCATAATGGATTTTCTCCAAAATGTACATCGTTCCCCAGAGCACACCCACAATAATGTCCACAATATGCATATGAATGCCACATGTTGAGTATGACTAAGCTATGATTCATGAGTACTTTGTATTTCAGTCACTTGCTGTATTTTGAGCACCTGATTTTTCTGTTGTTCTAAATTTCTTACCTCTTCCCCCAACACACAAGGTTTTGTTATGAGCCCACACTTTGGAGCCCATTTTCCCTTATTACTGATGACCACTGCAGGCAAATGAATGTCTGCTCTGCTCCAGAATCCTTCATGCAGAGGTCAGCTGCATGTTCCCCATTGCTGGGCAGGTATACAAAATCACAGGGAAGTATATATGCCCAGAGTGGATGCCTGAGTGCATCTACAGAAGCTCCTGCTGTTTTTCCCTTTCACATCATCTTTCTCTCTCAACCTGTTTTGTCTGTGCCTAGTCCCAGAGATAGAGGCATTCTCTCTTGTATTGTAATTTTATACAGGATACAGTATCCAAAAAGTAAACCATTCACTTGGACTGTAGTGTCTCATTGGATGGAGATACTGTATTGTGAGGATGCCAAAAGTTGTTTTACTGACTGGCTTGCCTTTTTGAGTGTGATTACAGCACTCCTTAGCCTCTGTGTTCAGTAATGTTAGAAAGTAAGGAGCCAGGGTCAGAGGAGGTAACCTATGCTACTTGTGAAGGACAAATTGTCATTGCCCTGTGCCAGGGTTGCTACTTGTGAGGTGACAGTAGACTATGGTGGTCTGGACAGTGCAGGTTTTGGAGGAGTGGACATTGTTTGGATGTACTAGGACATGACTCCACATTTCTGGCCACCACATCTGCGAGTCCTATCTGTTCATAGCAGCGTGTTCACACTATATGTCTAGTGCCTTTTCATGTATGCATTATGAATCTTGCCTTGGCTTCCTAAGGCTGACTTATGTGGTATCTACCTCTCCCAATACAACGAAAACACAAGGAATAATAGCATGTTTCTTCTTTGGGTAACCAGACCAAATGTTGTCTGTGGTATGCATTAAAATGCTGACATTAACATGCATTAAAATCTCAAGAACTGACCTGGTGCCCTGGAGGGCACCTACCAATATTTATATATATTGTATGAAAATACACAAACATATGACAAGGAAATTTGAATGCACCCATGGCTAACTTGTGATACTGAGGTGTGCCTCAGTTCTGTTCATTTTCAGACACACCAGATAAATACAGGTTATTCAATACATTAGCTAGGATGATGGCTACAGCTATTAGATCTTTCATATAATATGTGTCAGTGGAAACAGTGATTTATTCATGTAGTGACAGAAGCATTCAGTGCTTGCTCCCTAAAATTTACAATGTGCACTAGAATAGGAAACCTATCCATTATATCTGTTTGGATGGCCCTGTTGAATGCTGTTGACAAATGACAAGGGATTTAAATAGTTTAAGAAGTGATATCTATAGTGGGAGGAAGTGTGGGGTTTTCCTCCAGGTGTACTGCACAAACGACTGGGAAACATTTAGCATTGACTTGCTATGCAACGCCAATCAAATTATTCCAGTCTTGCTAGAGAACACAAACTCAGTTGGATATCCATAGTCTGCTAAGACTAGGATACAAGTCAAAGGTCAGAGGACCACCAGCACAACTTGGAGGCCTGAGGGAGCACCAGAAAGAATGCAAATATAGTCTCTCATAAAATAATTAAACATTGAAATGTAGAGGTCTGAGAGTCTGGGAAGCATATTCCTTGATGAAATGAATGTAATAACAGGGATCAATTCAGTCATCCTTAAATAATTCTGTAATATAGAATCAAGGCATATTTCAGGCCAGATTCTATTCCACATTTTGGGCTCTTAGGTCATGGACCCTTGCAGTGACACTGTGCAGTGTTCCAGAGCACTCCTCACCCACTACCTGCTCCTGCTGACACCCTCCAAACTCAGAAGCATGCCCTTGAGGACACTCTGGGGCCAGCTTCAGTGTTCGCATTCTGGAGAACAGTCTCATGGGCAGCCACAGAATGTCTCATTGAGGCACCTAAGAGATGGAATAGGATGTGGCCCTAAGTTTTTAAGTATGACCCTATTCCTCTGTGTTTGAGTACCTGAAAAACCACTAATGTGTCTATTTTTGTAATACTGGTTATACTACATCACAAAACATGCATGAAATAACAGCAAACTATCAGATAAGGTGAATCTATGAGACTTGTGTGCTGTCATCCCTGCTTTATTGTTCAGAAATGTGGACTACATATGCTAGGCACATCAAGAGACTGAACAGCCTCCACATAAGATGTCTGTGCAAAATCCTGAAAATAAAGTGGGAAGACAAAGTACCAAACACAGAGCTACTGGATGCACAGGACTGACACACTTAGAAACCATTATCAAGAAGAGGAGGTTGCAATGGATCAGCCATGTCAGAAGAATGTGAGGAGACCGTATCCCCAAGAATATTTTGTATAGCAATATTTGAGATGGCTCCAGAAAGTGGGGTTGCCTTCTATGGTGGTACCATGTCATGCAAAATGATATGAAGCCATTTAACATCAATGTAAAGAGTTGGGAGGAGCACACAAAATCCCATCCAGTCTGTAGGGGACATCTGGCACTGGGTACAGCTCAAACTGAAGTGGCTTTGACCCAGAGGAAGGCAGCAAAGTGAGAAAGAAGAAAGCAGCATCCTTGAAAGGTTGGACTTCACCTCAGGCAACATATGGATCTGTGACACTTTTCACAAGCTGTGCTGCTCTTGAATTGGGCGTATCAACCACAAACAGATTTATCGGGCTTTTGACTAGACCTCTTATGTGTACACTATGGGCCATAAGATCAATGGCTGCCTATATCTAGGAACCTACCTAATTTGCAATTTTGCAGATTTTGTGAAAACTGTGAAATCCAGGGTTAC